CATTGTTTTTTAACTGGATTGGTGCTTTTTAAATATGATCTTTACTGTTTTCCACTTATTTATACCTATTTTCCATTTATTTAGCTTTGTCATTTATATCTTGCCTACCTACTCCCTTAAGCAAATAGAATATAAACAGAAACAAGGGCAACTAACATCGTATCAGCACACAAGCTAATGTAGTATTGGAGCAGGCTGGACTGGACAAAATAATCAACTTCAAAAAAAATACTTGAAACGTCCAGCCAAAGGTCACTGTAGCATCTTATTCTTCCAAAAGTTGCTTGATGAAGGATGGCTTATTTTTTCTCAGGGCTGGGAAGGTTTTATGAAAAGTGGTGAGATACGAAACAGTAGCCCTCGACTTACCAAAATTTCTGTTGCTAAGTGAGACACTTATTAAGTGAATTTTGCCCTATTTTACAACTTTTCTTGCCACAGTTGTTAAGTGAATCACTGCAGTTGATAAGTTAGTGACTCGATTGCTAAGTGAACCTGGTTTCCCCACTTACTTTGCTTGTCAGAAGGTCGCAAAAGAGGATCACACGACCCTGGGACTCTGCAACTGTCATAAATACATGCCAAAAATACATAAATACATGCCAAATATATACATGCCATAAATACATGCCAAATATATGCCAAATAAATACATGCCATAAATAAAATAAATACATGCCATAATAAATACAATAAATACATAAATACAATAAATAATAAATACATTATATATATATATAATAAATACAAATACATACATGCCATAAATACATGCCAAATACATGCCAAATAAATACATGTCATAAATACATGCCAAAAGGGGATCATATGAACCCCTGATCACTGCGACCGTCATAAATACATGCCAGTTGTCAAGCTGACAGCGGTTGATCACATGAATGTTGATCACATGACCATGGGGAGGTTGCAATTGTTGTACAGTAATTGTGAAAAACAGTCATAAATACCTTTTTTTCCTGCTGTTGTAACTTCAAATGGACACTATGTGAACTGCTGTAAGTCGTAAAACTATTCAACACCATTGACAATGCTACTGTCCTTCAAAGCGACCTTGATTATGTGTCTGAAAGGTCAAACAATTGGCAACTCCAAATCTCAACCAACAAATGCTCCGTCCTACACATTGGTAAAAAAATATCAGTACACCAAATTCAAATTAGGCAGATATGACCTCATTGACGATCCTCATTATGTTAAGGACCCTTGGTGTACTCATATCAAATGACCTAAGCACCAGATCTCACTGTAACAGCATTGCCAAAAAGGCATTAAGAGTTGTAAATCTAATCTTACGAAGCTTCTCCTCGGAAATATTGAATTGCTAACTAGAGCTTACAAAACTTTTGCTAGACCAATACTCGAATACAGCTCCTCAGTCTGGAATCTGCACTGTATATCGGACATTAATATAGTTGAGCGAGTCCAGAAGTATTTCATGAAAAGAGTACTACACTCCTCTGCTCGCAACAGAATACCCTATATCACCAGGCTTGAGACTTTAGTTGGACAACCTTGAACTACGCCGCCGGTTGGACTTAAGCGTAGTACATAAAATTATCTGCTACAATGTCCTACCGGTCAATGACTACTTCAGCTTCAACTGCAACAATACAAGAGCACACAACAGATACAAACTCAATGTAAATGGCTCCAAACTCGATTGCAGAAAGTATGACTTCAGCAACAGAGTGGTCAATGCCTGGAATCCCCTACCTGACTCTGTAGCTACATCCTCAAATCCTCAAATCCCCACTCCTTCAACCTCAAACTATCCACTATTGACCTCACCCCATTCCTAAGAGGTTTGTAAGGGGTGTGCATAAGTGCATCATCATGCCTCCCGTCCCTGTCCTGTTGTCCCCATTTATTCGTACCTATTTCCTGTATTCTTACTCATGTTTATACTTATACCCATTGTTGTATATAGACATTTGCATACCCGTAATACTATGTTCCAATTGGACAATCACTACCGCCTAGCGATTGGTGGTTAACAACAGTTTATGATTGGCCGCCCAA